ATAAACTAATGAAGTCACACAGTCCTTTTAGAATATATTATTGTGTGACTATGAGTTATTCCGCATGAAATTTAATGAGATAATAACTAACATGTACACTAAGTTTACTAAGATTATAACATCATGACATGCACTTGGTAGTGAGTTGTCCAGATCTAAAAAATTTAATAAGATTTTGCATTTTTTACCTGATAATTATTATGGTAAAGTTACTATCATCTGTGAATCAAAAGATTTGAACATGTGCTCTACTAATAATTTTCTTGGCTCACTCATTGCCTATGAGCAATGTGTGACTCAATGTTTATTTGATGCAGAATCTAGGAGGAAGGATAAGATAGTGGAATTGAAAACTAATGAATAAGATAGCAATAGCTTGGAATGTGACGAAAATTATAAAATAGTATTAATGAGCTAGCAATTAAATAGCTTTTTGAAGAAAATACAAAGACATCATTAATACTAAAATAAAAGTAAATCAGGTAGATATACTAAAGATTCCTATAACACTGTCTATTTTGAATGTAGAAAGCCAAGACACTTAAAATCCAATTGCCCCGACCAGAAAACTTGTTGTATAAAGGAGAAGGTTAGAGAACAGACATTTCAAAAAGGGGAAGCAAGGGACATAGAAGGAATTCTACATAAATTTAGCTTCAAACTCTTCAAAAACAAGAACATGAGGAGAATGTAACAAATTTATGCTTAATATAAAATGAATATGTTATGAACTCCAATCACGATGAGGGATGCTCTCACAATAGGCCTAGTGAGAGAATGTGGTACATGAACAGTGGATGTTCACGACTTGTGAGATGAAGCAATTCAACATGTTGGAGGCCAGGGAAAGAGGAAAGGTAACTCTTTATGATAATACCAATAGAAAAGTGGTGGGTTAAGGAATGATTTGAAATTTCATAAGTTTTTTCATTAAAATGTTCTTTTAGTAGATGGATTAAAACACAATTTTCATATTATTATTCAACTATATGTCAATGGGTTTAACATATTTTTTTTGTCTTTTAACTGATTAATTAGTTTGAATGGAATAATGGTTTTAGAAGGGAATAAAATAAAGAATGTTTACATGTTTGATCTAACTTTTATTAATAAATTAAATATTATCAATTTTAAATTTTTTATTGATGAATCATGGAAATGGCATAAGCGACTATGTCATGCAAGCACAAAAACCCTTAAAATGATAACTCAAAAAGACATAATTAGAGGCATACCCAAGTTAGAATTTTATAAGGACCACCTTTATGATGCCTGCCAATTTGTAAAATAAATTAAGTCATCTTTTCATTCAATTAATGACATCACACCACTAAAACACTAGAAATCTTACATATGAACATATTTAGTCCTGTTAGTATAACCAGCATATATGGGATGATTTTTGGATATGTCATTATTGATGATTATTCTAGATTCACCTAGGTTAGATTTTTAAGTTATAAAAATGAGTCATTTGAGGAATTTAGAACATTCACCAGTTGGGATTAAAAGAAAATTAGGATGTGAGATCTCTATTATCCATAATGATCATGGTGGAGAATTTGAGATTTACAAGTTTAAAATTCTCAACAAGGAGCTAGGAATTGAACATAACTTATCTACACCTAGGACTCCTCATTAGAATGGGATAGGTTAATGAAAAAATAGAACATTTGTGGAAGTGAATAAGCTAATATTAGCTAAATATTCTCTCCTTATATATTTTTGGGCAGAAGTAGTGAATACTTCTTTTTATGCTTTAAATAGGGTGAATGTTAAATCAAAATTAAATAAGACTCCTTATGAGGTTCTTAAGGATAAGATACCTAATCTTTCTCATTTGTATGTCTTTGGGAGTAAATATTTTATTCTCATTGACGGAAAATCTCCTTTAGGAAGGTTTGATCCAAAGTCTAATAAAGGAGTCTTGTTAGGTTATTCCCTTCTAGGTAAATCTTATAAGATCTTTAATAAGAGGATTTTAGTTATAAGGGAATCCACCCATATTATATTTGATGAATCAATTAATCAATTAAACCAACGTTAGAAGATGATGAAGATATAGAGGTTACCTAAGGAGTAGAGTATATTGACCTAAGTCATAGAGAAAAACCTAAGGAACCACTACTTAGAAAACGGAGATACTCATCTATTTATCCTAGGGAGCTTATCTGAGGAGATCCTTCTATAGGAGTTAGAACTAAACATAGACTTGTGAAAGAGAATAGTCATTCTATATTCATTTATTTGGTTGGATACACAAATCTAGGCTAAGCCTTATTTTTGGAATTTTGGATCCTAGCTATGAAAGAAGAGTTAAACTAATTTGTTAGAAATGATATATAGATGTTTGTTGGCATACTTAAGGACTATAATGTAGTAGCTACAAAGTTGGTATTCAAAAATAAGATGAATGATTATAAAATAGTGGTTAGAAATATGGCCAGATTACTAAGGGGTGAAATTAAATTAAAGGCATTAAGTTTGAGGATATATTTTCCCCTATAATTAGACTAGAAACCATTAAAGTTCTATTAAATTTTTTTAACAATTTAAAGGCTTCAAATTACATAAGATGGATGTTATAAGTTCCTTTCTAAGTGGAATTAATAAGGACGATGTATATATAAAGAAACCCACTGGATTTGAAAATTCCTTTTTACCAACCAAGTGTATAAATTGAAAAAGGCATTATATGGTTTGAAGCAAGCACCTAGGTCAAGGTATAAAAGGCCTAATAAAATTCTTTTAGATAGAACCTTTATTAAGGGTAGTGTTGTAACACTCAAATTCAAAAGAAAATAGGAGATGTTTTGCTCATTATTCAAATATATGTCGATGATATATTATTTTGATCAATAAAAAGAAACATATGTAATAATTTTTTAGAAACTATGAGTAAAGAGTTAAAAATGAGTAAAATGAGGGAGCTAACTTATTTTCTTGGATTTAATGTGAAATAAAGGGATGATGGTGCATTTCTTAGTCAGACCAAACATATTAAGAAAATTTTACATAAATTTAATATGGAAGGTTCAAAGCAGTAAATACACCAATGAGATCAAACATTCAATCAGACAAGAATGTAAGTGGAAAGTTAATATATCAAAAAAAGTATCAGGGATAATTGGATCACTTTATATTTGATTGCTAGCAGACCAAATATAATGTTTAGTGTTTGTCTATGTTCTATATTTCAAGCCGATTGCAAAAAATTCCATATAACTGCGGTTAAAAGAATTCTTACATATCTTATGGGCACCCAAAACTTTTGTATCTTGTATCCCAGACATAGATCTTTATTTAAAATCATATAATATTCAAACTCAAACTTTTTAGAGTGTATAATAGATAGGAAAAGTCCTTCTAATACTTTCCAATTTATAGGGAAATCTTTAGTTTTCTAGCCTAGTAAAAAACAAAATTCAATAGCCCTATCAAATGCGAAGGTGGAATACATAGCTATATGTAGTTATGATACTAAGGCTATATGGATAAAGAAACAAATCCTAAACCTTTGACTTCCTGTAGGAACAATTCCAATCATGTGTGATAACACTCGTGTTATCTGCATTTCTAAAAATATAATTCAACACTACTGCATGAAGCATATATATTAGATATAATTTCATTAGAGATCTTATAGCCAAGGGAGATATAGAATTGTATCATGTAGCTATTGATAAGAAACTGTCATATATTTTTATAAAACCTCTTAACACTAAGATTTTTAGTACACTTAGGACTAGACTAGGTATTATTATTATCAATGCCTAAGGATAATAAGTTAAGAATATACAAGAAATTAATGTATGTTTATTTTCCTCTAATATTTATTTCCTTTGCTAATTTTTTTTTTATTTGGTTATTTTTTGTTCACAAAGTAATTGTATATGTGTTTGTCTTGGAAACATTCATGATATTTTCCCTGAATAGCACACAAAAAAAAAAATGGAGGACAATAATATTTTATTCATGAAAGGAATTTTCTAATATATAAATAAATACATAAATAAATACTACAAATGCATGCTTTCATATGAATAAAAAATACATAAAATATGTGTTGAAATAAATATGATAAAACATTAATATTTATATGACTGATACTAAAATCACACATACATGGGTTGCCACCAAGAAGTGCTAAATTTTAAGTCTTCAGCCAGACTTAATCAAATTTTCTAATTGGCTAAGATGGATGACTACTACTCTTAAGTTGGGTATCATTGGTATCTCTTTCCTTCTCTTTAGAATTAACTTCAATGTTATTAGGAAAAGATCCAATGAGTCTACTACACATAGCAATTGCACGCTAACTTAATTGTGTTTCTAAATTTTTTATTGAAGTAGCTTGGTTTTATGATTGAGTTCCCAATTATAAGATCACATCTTCCAGTGATATCTTTCTAGTCCCATACTAATTGCTTTGATTAAATTCAAGAGGATATGTTGGTCTTTGATTATTAAAAGCTTTATTTTGATTATTCAAATTTGTGCCTTTGTTATTTTAACTAGAATTCCATTAATTTCCGTTATTATTATTTGATCAACTAAAATTTGGGGGATCCTCCAACCTAGATTATGTGTATTAGAATAGTGATTGTTTTGTCTTCCAATTAAATTTATATTTTCAATCCCTTGGATATCATTTTATTTTATTGAGCTTTTATCTTCCAAATGTAATGATGAATCAAAATTTAAGCCTAAAGTTCTCAACTTCTTTGATATTGCTAGAACTTATGCAGTTAACATAGATAAAAAATCATTTTCATATACACCTGCCACTCTCATAGGATTCACCCAATCAACCTGCCACTCTCATAGGATTCACCCAATCAATATGGCACCGAAAATTATTTATTTCCATTTCTTCAATTAATTCATAAGCATCTTTAAAAGTCTTTAAAATCAAAAAATCTCCATTTGCATCATCAATTATGGCTCCAAGGGATCCTTCCAATCCATTATAAAAAATTTAAATTATCAACCATTCATGTAAGGCATGGTGAGGGCACTTTTGAAGCATCTCTTTGAATCTCTCCTAACTCTCAAAAATATATTATCCTTCTAACTGAGTAAAAGAAGCAATGTCATTTTCTATGCTTGTTAACCTTAGAAGGTGGGAAATACTTTTCTAAAGTTTATGGGCCAACTAATTCCATGTAATAATAGAGCATAGGGCTAATAAATATAACCATATTTTTACCTTTCCTCTTAGAAAAAATGGGAACAAACTAAGTCTAATTGCATCATCACTAATACCATTGTACTAAGATATTACATAAATTTCTATGAAACCTACTAAATGTAGGTTAGGATCTTTAATGGGAGTTCCCCCTTTTATCATCTAAATGATTACATGTTTTAATTAAAAATTAAATTAATGGGTGGTGGGTCTATTTATGCTTTGGTGAATCCCTTTTACTAAATGGATTGCAAAATCTTTAAGATGTCTAGAATATTATAAGTTTTGAACAGGGTCAGCCCTTTTAAAAATCTTTTTGGTAGTTCTAATTTTAAAAACAAGTATCTCAATTTTAGAACAAAAATTTAAATGTGATTCCCCTTTATGTCTTGTAAGCACCATAGATATGCAAGCAATAAACTAGAATAAAAGAATACAGTATGATTAATTATGAAAATAATTTAGGGCTCTATCGATCCCTAAATAATGCTTAGATTTTATTTGAAATAAATATTATAAAAATCTCACTTAATATATGCAAGTATAAGTGTTAAATCAAGTCATATAGTGATAGAGTAGATTATCATTCCAAAGAGGAAGAATATTTAAAATTTTCACTTAATTTAAATTTAATAATTACCCTACTCAATTAAAATAAGTTTTGGTGGAGATTCAATCAATTAATTTAAATGTAAAAATAATTAAATGAAACACTAATTGGATAAATTATTTTGGATTGATGGACTATAAATACAGTATATTTCTTAATGAATCTCTTTTATATTGATGTTATTCAGATCATATGCATTACTGACTGCTTGGTCAAGTGTGAAGTGCCAAAGGACAAATTAACCCTTCCAACTTTCATACCACTCTAAACTCCTAGTTTGTCACCTTATGAATATCCTATGGGAGTAAGTAAAGCATGTACTACTGTTAAAACTCACTCAAGATAATTCATCTCTATAAATTTGATACATGGCAAGCACTATGCCTATGCTTGAATCATAATAATCTAGCTTTCGTGTTTGTGCCTACTTTCCTATTTTTAGGTTCCACATTCCACCTAAAATTAACTATACATATGGAAACTACATTAAATGAAGACCTAGTATATTAAAAATATCTTGTAATTATTGATGTTTAGAATTCATTAGATATGAAGAACATTTGAATCATAACTCCATATTTTATTTACACCATCAATCCAAAACTAGAGAATTTAGCTAGATATGAAGAACATTTGAATCAAATTCATTTTAATTAATTACTTGAAAAAAATAAACTACAGAAGAAAACATATCGTCGGATGGGTTAAATGATCTCCTTTACACTCCTCCTTGCATTATAGAATTACTTCTACAAATACAAGCCAAACACTCTAATGGAATGTATCTAGTATTCTCTGAATTCCTTTGGTTATCAGTCCTAAGGAAAAATCATAGAAGCACTATAAAGGCTAAATTTAAAAAAGTAAATAAAATCATCTACTAACATTAGAAACAATTAATTTATAAAAAAAATATATAGAAAATAAATTCTAGCACAGTAAGGCTCGAGGCACTTATGCCATAGTGCCCATAAAATGAACTGATGCTGCAATGCTGAAAGGTTTCCTCTACTATAGTGCTTGCTGATGTGGGCTTATTGTTTAATGAATCAATACATTGCTTTGTTGGAAGATCATGGCCTGAATGGTTACAACTGAAGCACCATAGTGATGTTGATGATTGAGCATTACGCAATCCATGTGGCACTCCCTTAACTTGGAGGCACTAGAATTTGGCACCATGGTGCTGTGCAGACAGAGATTAGGCTATGTGGCGTTGTCTCCTTCATCAATGCAGTGTCGTCAAACAAAAACTAGGTGTCACCTTATCTATATTTAAGCGCTCTAGTGGTGTCAATGATGGAACTGCAGCAACATTGTGTATGATGTTGCGATGATGTACCATACTTTAAAATTTTGCACATTTTCTATATTTTTCTGTACAATTGCAACTAAAATAATATATTTTCACTAACAAATTAACATATTAAACATAACATTATTTACATTTATCAATACACCATAGAAACTAACCACACACCTTTATTTAAAATATTGGGCTCTCCAATAACATACTTAGAAGAAGATTCTAATATAGAAAATGCTGCCATATCATTCCTCAATTACACTAGGATACCACCAAAAGTACCAATAGTTGGAAGATGAAAAAAATCCCAACCATCCCCAATGAACCTATTTACATTAACTCTTTCTATAGATGATAATTTAGTCTCCAAAAACCTAAGAAAAAATACCTCATATTCCTTCACATACTCTTTTAATTATAGAGAAGTTTCCATCTTTCATGATCCCCTACAATATTAGAAAGCAATAGATGACATTAACATTAATGAGGGGAATAACCCCTACCCTTTCCTCTACTTCAAACAGCAGGTTTCATATTCCCAAGAAGAACCTTAGTAGGGCCTGAAGCTTTAAGCTCATTATTAAGTCTACTTTTAATGACAAAAGAACTAACACCTCCAAACTCTTCCACCATAGACAAACAAAACTTCTTTTTCTTATTATTCACATGACCAATTCCAAAATTAGAATTAGCCATCTTAGATGCACTTACCTTATATCACTACAAAAAATAATGGCTGTTAGGGCACCATAAAGTGCCATAATATGTATCTATAAGGGCACATGACATATTGGGACATCAAACAATGGTGTCACTTAGGTGGCCATTGGCATAGGGTTCACATAATCTTTATGTGCTCTAAAACCTAAACTTTCATGACATGTAAATTTGATGGCATAGTCTCTTTAACGACGCTTATAAAGTGTCCTAATATACAAGCTTTCCTAACACCTTTATATGATGGAATTTGTGAATAAATATGACAAATATTATATGTCATAATAGGTAAGCTTTCCTAACACATCTATTTAATGGAACATGTTTAATAATAAGGCGCGTTTAAATTTCCCTAAGATATATGATTTCCCAACACTTAATTTTAATGAAATAATTTTCATAAAATGACATTATTATGTGCCTCAATATATGCTATATCCAATATAAATTACATTTAATTATCAAATACTTATGCTAACTCATAATATTTCAATTATAAATAATTAATCTCCAATCAAATTTTTAAAAATTTCATATACATATGAGAGCTTGCATAAGATATTTTTTTTTCAAATACAAAATTTATTTCATAAATCTAAAATTATAAGAATTTTCAACTTTAAATATAACAAAACATCTACTTCAATCTTCATATATGTGCATAATCAATCTATTACAATAAATTCCTTCACCAAACATTACACAAAAATCCAAAAAATAGCCCTTATTATGAGGGAAATTTCTTTACACAATATCAACGAAGTCTTAGGATCTCTCCCCTAGAAACACTATCTGATGTGATTTTTGTATCCTCATCAGTAAACTATCTAGTGCACCTTGTGTCCCTTCCTAGTTTGTCCACCTCAATGACAAGTTCCAACCTCGCAACCATCTCAACTAAAGGAAGTAAAGGCTACAAATGGAAGTACCTTTGAGAACTCAAGGGTGGTTATTGCAAGCTTACATAGTGATGGTCTTAGTTGTTTTTTCTCAGATGACTCCTTTGGTTGGTCTGCAATCCTATTATTTTTCCATTGTAGCATTATTGATGTATCGGTTTTAAGTGAAGGCAAGGCCACAACTGAAGAAGTCTTCTCAAGCTTTGGTTCTGTTACCTTGCGGCCATTTGTTGAACCAAGGAAGAGACGTGGGGGTGATTTGATTACTGAGTTGAGGTCCTACAATGCTTCATGGAGATGATATGAGAGAGCATCATGAGAGAATAGATCGCGGTTACTTATGCTATAAAATAGCTCAACTGGAATGATAGACACTTCTGATGCAATTCACATGCATGGGTCTCGAAATAGTAATCTTACAGATTTGGGAGCCAGTAACAATTGAATCATTTACCTCATTTAATGAGAAAACAGAAGAATCATAGTATGAAATGTTTAAAGTAGTCAAGAAGACAAAGGGACCAAATATATTTCTTTGAAAATTTTCTCTCTGATTTCCATTTTATATTATGGAAGAGAAAAATCAAGATATGCTTAAATATGCCAAACTAGTTTGTTCATGTGATAAGTAAACATATTAAAAAAAGAGAAACCAAAACTAACAACCTAAATTTCTGATTGCAGATAGCCATGAAGTGCCACAGTAGTGTACCCAAAATGTCTAAGAACTGTGCTAGGATTTACATATTGTTGCCATGGATACTTGTGGCAGTGCCTAATGGGCCTGGTTTCCCAGCTTACAAAGCATGCCTGGAAGACATACACAATTAGCATTATGTATGAAAGGCTATATGTAAAGGCTTAACAATTCACATGACTATTCTTATAAGAGTCTCATCACTAAATTTAGAATCCAATATTGCCCTATAATCTTTATAAATTAGATGGTATAATTTATTCTCACTGACTTTATCATCTTATCATGAAAAAAAAGAGGCTCCAATCCAATTCTCAATATTATGAAATTAAATAAATTATTACCATAAAATAAGAATTCTTATTTGCTAACTCATATTGTAAGAAATAACTACATAATGTTAGATTTGGGATTTAGCAATAGAGTAGAAAATCACATAATCCTTGGCAAATAATATCACAATAAAAGAATTTCATTTGGTGCATAACATCACCAACCTAATACTTGGGAGCTGGGAAAACATTCCAAAACCTGCGTGTGTCTCATATCCTGCTCCGAGATGATTGTCTGTAAATTAAAAAAAAAATGTTAGAAAAGGATGAAATCTAGTATATAGGCTCAATAAATGAAGAGAAAAGCTTCTTAACTTGCATATCATAAGAGATGACCAAATAAAAAGCTCTAAACATAA